TCTCAAAGCTCAATGGCAGCTCCATGTGCTGTCCCTCTTCCCACCAGAATGAAATCTATCACTGCCAACCTCAGCCCCAGCTTAATTGCGACACAGGCGAGAGGGCACGGTTGCAAGGAAGTTGGAAAACGAGGACAGTGAGAGGAATAAAGTGAAGCAGGCAGGAAAAATTGATACTGCATGAAAATGAACCAGTTGTACAATACAGAGAAACAGGTTTTTGGAGGGAAGCGGATGAGAGGCATGGGGTACGGAGCTTTCCCTGACACAGTGGTTGTTCTTCCCATGACACTGCTCACCAAGGTGACACTGAAGTTAGCTGGCAGGAATTCTTGACCTGCTCAGGGTAAAGAATCATTGCAATGGGGATACTGAGGTTGCTTTGGTCTGCAAATGAAGCTTTTGGCAAATAGGGGATTTAACTGGATTCAAATGGTTAGCTTTATTTGCCAAAGGAAAAAAAAAAAACCTACTTCTTTTTGATGATACACACACAAAACACAATGAGATTTCATTTAAATAAATAAATTGACAACTACTGCTCTGGATGTGAACCAGCAATAGCAGTGTTAAGCCATTTCAAAGCTGAGTGAATGCGATTTTCACACCTATTCTTTTTTAATTTAGGTCCATTTGAAATCCAAGCACCCCTCTATTACTAATTTGTTATGGCAATATTAATTAATGGTTTTGCTCTACAGCAGTAAGAATGCTGTTTAGACTGAGTGAGATAGATTAGAAGGACTACAAGATTAGAAAAACAATCTATAAACTGGTCAGATGCAGTTGGGGGTCACCTTGATCTTCTGAAATGAGCACGCTACACTTGGAAAGCCTGGGAGCGCGTGGATGTATTTCTACCAGTGCAGACTCATTAGGGCTGGTTAGGTCAGCACACTTTGATGTTGTCTCCTATTTTGGAATACATGAACATTAGCTCCCAAGGTGGGGAGAAACAATTGTCAGACTTCCATAAAAGCTGATAATTGAAGAAATTGCATATTATTTGATGCACAATATGAGTTCAGACCGAGTATGCTAGAAAATAAGGAACAATATTTAATGACTTACAGAAGGCGCACAGTGATGCGTTGTAATTTCCATTCTCCTGACACACTTTATCTCTGCCATTAGTTTAACAGATCTCCAGGCTCCTGTCTTGGCTACTCTGATCAACATGGTGTGCCCAGCCTCAGACCATCAATAGCATTTATCTTGCACTTCAGTGGCATAGCACAGATAAGACATCTGGTTTGAGGAAGAACAGTAGCTGGCAGATTGATGGGCAAATCTTGTGAACTTTTCAGCTGGTTCTTGGATTATCTCAGCTACCTTCTATTCACCCTATACATGGGCAAGAGCTCAAGTCCCTCAGCCATCATTGCACCTGTATGAGAATCATGGACATGGATCAAAGCACTGCTGATGGCAGTAAAAAAGCCACAATCTCAATTATTTTGGCTTTAAATTATGAGATTAAAATTTTTTTCTGGTGTAAAGTGTGATATGCTTTTGTTTATTTTTTGGGTCTAATTTTGCAGTCAGCCCAAACACATTGTGGAATAATCACAGGGAAGAAAATCAGAGGCACAGTGATGCTCTTTTAAGAAAGCACTGGTATTGTAAAGTGCTCACAGTTTCATGGTGGGTTTTCAGCACTGGCAGGTGAGGGGCAGGAGAGGCAGCTGAAGAAGTTGGACTGCAGCTGAAGAAGTTGGACTGCAGCTGCCCCAGGGAACTAATCTATTTCTGGTTTTGCTATTCTTGCATTTCTTTGTTTTGCCTGAATCAGAAGAGATCAAGATGGCAGGATTTTACATTTATGCTCTGCGTTTCCTGGTGGATCAAGAAGCCTCCTGTGTAGGCAGCACCTCTCAGGACAGACTGGAGGATATGGTGCCTCTTTTGACATTTTACATATTGAATCGCCCTAGGGCAGCAGGAAAAGTGGCTGTCAATCTGAGGGCATGCCCGAGGCCCAGGCTGAGGGACGCCATGTCTCCTGGGAGCCCTGATGAGCAAGGCAGAAATGTCAACGGTTGGGAGGCCCAGCTCATAAGGACATCTGAACCTTTTTGACACTTTCTTGGACACTGTGAAATCCATAAGTTCAGCACGACTGGACTACCAGTATTACAAGATTTTTGGCTTTTCCTGTTTCCAGTCAGGCTGTAATCAGGAAAAGCCAAATTCTGGCCTCCTAACACCATTAATAACAGCAAGAGGAACAGGAACAGTGACATGCAAAGCTGGAATACTCTTTGTAAAGGGCAACCACAAAGATAAACATACTCCTGGATTCTACAAAATACTCAAAATATAAGTGAAACTGTTACAGCTGATGTGGTTTGTCTGTCCCTACTAACAATGAGTTAGCTATCTGATATCCTAACAAATATGAGAAGCACATGAAAAGAGTGAACGGTTGGATAGGACAATAGTTACTCCTTATTCTGTGAAGAAATCAAACCCCCTAATATTTCAAATTCTATCCCTAAGCTGTTTGGGTTTCGGGGTGCTCTCCTGCTTTTAAACAGTTTTGGACACAAAACAAACTGAGCCTAGTAAGTAGGAATAGCTTTGAAAATGTGGCTTGAAATGTGTCCTTGAAAATGTGGCTCACAGAAGATCAGGGAGACAAGAAGGAGCTGAAACAACTTTTGGAGCAGCTGGCTCTGACCACAACTCAATGAGAACTATACTCTCCTCAATACGGTTACCACCGCTTCGACTGACCAAACAGTCAGATGGGCTGACTGAAGCAGTGAGCAAAGACAGGCACTTGATGAAATACTGTATAACACAGCAAGAACAAGTAAAGATGCTTCTGGATTTAATGCTTAAGCTATAGCCCAGCTGAAGTCAGTGGAAATACGTCTGTTGGTTTCAGTGGAAGTTGGGTTATGACTTAAGTGAGTAACACAAACTTGGGTTTTGTGTCACAGTTGCTATGTCTATTGATTAGAGCAGCTAGTAAGGAGGTCAGCAAAAATCAGTGTTAAGGCTTATCTCTTAATTAATATGCTGAATGCTGGCATTAAAAGTGCCTGAGTAATCTTTTAGTTGGACAATACATAACCACTCAAAAAATACTGAGAGAGGAAGTTCAGTGACACCTTTTCACTGACATTTATACTTCCAGAACAGTGAGGAGAAGAAGATAAGGAGGGCAGAAGTCTACAGAAAGGAGAAAAGGCCATAAAAAAGGGAATATACACTGAAGAATATGTTGCCTAGTGAACAATTGGGAACCCAGGTAAGGTGTGATATTCAGGTAGAAGATGATCATAAAGCCAAGCAACCAGGGAATATTTCAGAGAGCTCAGGAACTGAGGCAATGATACTTGTGATGCAGTTTCAGAACATGACAAACCATCAGTCGATGAATGCATGGTAGTTACCTGCCGACCCACCCAGCAAAGTTCACTGGGGGCAGCAAAGCAGTCAGCAGGACGGGACTAGAGATTCCTCTTTATATCCAAGTGCTAGGTTTCCATGGGGAAGGACAGGCATGTTCATCAAAACAAACTACTTTTTACCAGAATTAATTTGGGCAGGAAACGTCATAGATTTCTTGTTTAAAACTATCTGTACTTTGGAGGGATACTGCGAGGATGGAACTGCCAGGTTTGCCAAGGCTTCCAAAATGCCTGCAAAGCACTCTGTGAAGATCACTGCTATTATTAAATTATGTTATTATCCCCCTGGTTCATGAAGTTTACAAACCAGAATTAAAAGGAAGAGGTGGAGGATTATGATGTATTTTAGAATTTCTTACATTTCTCATGTTTCCTTTTTGGAAACATAGGAAGGAAACTTCTGGGTCACCAAATATAATTCCTAGGTCCTGCAGGCAATCACGTCACCTAAAGGATTCATCTCCTATCAAACTCCTTGAACATCTAACAAGTATCTTTACTAATATTGATGAGAATTGCTACTAATAATTTGCATTTACACACTACTTAAGGATCTTGAAGTATTCTTTCATATAATATGTTCATTTTTATTACAGGCATATTAGATTTAAATGACTTGCCTAGGGTCTCACAGCAAGCCAGCAGCAGAATGACTCTTAGTGCTCCCAGTGCTTTGCATTAAATCCTGGACATTAACAGCTCCCTTCATAAAGGGAACTTTGTAGCAGTAGATCACCTCCTGGTGCTGGTGGATCAAACCTTTTATGACAGCGCGAACAAATCAAGAAGTTACTTGAACCCATGTAATGTTTCCGAATGTCTGCAAATCCTGGCTTACTTTAAACTTAGAAAATTGACACAAGTCTGAATAATGCTAAGATAGCCTTTGGCATATGACCAACTATGAAATTTTGATGTGCTAAGTAGGTACCTCAGATCTATATGTTCTGTATGAATGCAGCAGTAATCTCTACATTTGTTCCAGAAAAACTTCAGAGCTTTCACTATCCCTTGTGATGTTGGAGGCATATATGAAAACAAAAAAAACAACCCCAAAAGTAAGCCTATAATAAACAAAAATCCTTAACTTTTCTACTGGCAGATTTATCTGGAGAGTTTGCTCTGACACAGGCACACTCCTTGTCATTGCTCCCTCCTCTGAATGGCACTGTCCTCATCAAAAATTAACTCTAAAAGGAGCATATGGGGCGTCTCTTTGTTTATGGGCTCCTTTCTGTCAAGAAAGATGCAGTACTGCAGAATGACCTGATTTTTCTGCCTTTGTCAATGTTATCTTTCTAGCAAATTGAAATGTTGGTATTTCCCCCTACATTTTGCCCTCTCATCTATGCCTCCTATGGAAAGGGTTGCAAATTGTACCCAATGATTTCAGGATATGATTTTCAAGCTTTTGCTTGTGGCATCTGGCTCTTTCCATGAAAAAAAGAGCTATTTTGTGGCATGGCACTTGCTATAACATCAGAGGAACCATCTAGTAAAACAACAACAGATACAACAATACTGATCCCATTCATTGAAAGAGTTCCTCCAACGTGGTGGTGGCTACCCAGGAGCTCTCACCTGTGGCAAATGGTGACATTTACTCCTGCTGGGAATGTGGCTGGGCAGCCGAATGTTAAAGAGGGCCTGCAGGGCTGCCTGCGCTGCTTGACCCTTGGCCAGCTTCTTGCTACGTCCTGAGCCTTCAAATGTTCTCCCGTCCACTCGCACCGCCATCACAAAACTCTTGATGTGCTGCTTCTCCACTGTCTCTGACAGGCAGACGTACCGCAGGCCTGACCGCAGCTCATTTAGCAGCACCACCGGGTTCTTCTCGCTCTCCGCTTTGGATGCCATCTTGTGCTTGTTTTGCTTACCATGGCCCATTAAGTCCAGTGTATGGCAGAGTAAGCGCCCATGTCGATAAGCAGTGGAAAGCAATTCGTTATTAACAGGGTTATAGACTGAAAAGTCCTCACTGTGTGTAGATGGTTCGAACTCCTTGAACAGAGTATCTGGAAAGTCTGCCTGATCAGAAGTAAAGTCCGTGGACGGGTTGATGCAGTTTCCCATAGCAAAGTGAGCTTGGCAGGCGTTGGGGAACTGAACGAACGACTTCAGAGCTAGCTCTGCAGCACGCATTTTGGCTTTCTTTTTCGTGGGTCCTGTGCCTTCAAATGTAAGTCCATTTACTTCCACAGCAACAGCAAAGACTGGAGCATGTACTGGACCTGTCTGGGAAACCATTTTATATTGTAAACCTGGTTTAAGTTCATGTAGCTGAACCAGAGCGTTCTTTGGTGTCACTGACCACGAGACTTTCTTCCAGATGAGCTGGAGTTTGCAGAAATGGCCATTATTGCCCTCCTCTAAGGGTCTTTTTCTCTTACTGCTAGGTGTTCCTCCTCTTGCCCTCTCATTAGAGGATATTGGATGATCCTCCAAGTTGCCAATGTTTCGATTTTCCTTTACTTCTGCACTGCTGGTACCTGTCAGTAAAGAAAGAAAAAAACCTCACATTACAGTTGTCATCATAGTAGCTGACATTATGCCTAGGGCTGGCAGAATAGGCAAAAAAGAAAAAAAAGTCAATGATAGATATCCTTGCTCAGCCCTTTTTGGGGGTTTTCCTCAAATATCTGTAAAATGGTTGGTTTATTATTTATAGCACAGATTTTCTGCATGTCCTGAATGTTTATCTATCCCTAAAGTTCTACTTGTATTAGTCACTAGCCTCCTGTTTTAAAAAAAGGTTACGTCATTCAAAGATGAAGCATAACTGATGCCATGTGACTTAAATGAACTACTGCATTCACACTGGATAATTACTAGTAAAAAGTGAATAGTTTGCAAAGTTCCCTTAGGCTGAGATTTGTTCTATAATCCATGTGGGTGAATGCTTATGAACACATTATTAGAAATCAGAAATGATTCACGAATGATTCACAAACAGAAAAATGGGCAAATGCATTGAATAATCTATTTGCAATGAATACATTGACTGGCTATACTCACACCATAGGCTCTTATGTTGCTAACATCATGAATCCACCCTAAAAAATGATTGGATAGACCTTCCTAGCTTTCAAAACAATAATTTTGTCTGGACTCAGATTCCAGTTTAATAAGTGAGTGTATTTCTGTCAAATTCAATTGCAGATACTGTTAGCAACAACTAACATTGCAAAATTTCTGGATAAACCTAAATGAGACTAAGAAAAGCCGGAGCATCATGACGGCAGTAATTACTGATGTAAAGAATAATCTATGTCAAAGAAAAGCAATGGGAGAGAATGACTGCCAGGAGCACTAGGAAGGGAATGAAATGACATTGGGAGCTATGGAGGGAGCACTTCTTTGTTGTTGACCCAATGAATCACACATTGCTCTGAACTACGCTTGTGCAATGCCCATGCTGCGAGGCAGTGCTCTTTGCTACAGCAGATGCATGACTGAGAATGAAGATTCATCTCACTGATGTCCTGAATGAGACAGAAAATGTGCTGCTGTCTAAATAAGCATCCTATAACATTTCTGTCATTTTCTGATGCGTTTGTTGAAATGTATTGCATCTCTGATACATCCTCCAGTCCTCCTGTGTGTTCCTTGGGGCAGAGACAAGTTGAGGAAGTAAACATGAATGTAATCAACCCGTGAAGCAACCTGCCCCTGGAGCGATGCACCTGATCCCTTTCTGAGCAGAGCACTGCCTGGCTGCCTGCTATATTCCAGCCAGCATTGAGCATGGAGCCTTTCCCATGGTTTGTTATTGTCAGACACGAGCATGCCACCTGTGCAGGCTGCATGACTCCCAAGCACAGAGAAGGTCCCTGTGGTCCTTAGAGGACAAAGAATGGTCCTGCCACTTTCTGCGCGGCCATGGCCATATTTGGTTTCCTCTCTACCCTGATATACAAGCTGGCTGCAAGGATGTAAGGGGTGAGCTGCTGGCTACGCCTCCAGGAGCTTCTGCTGGAGAGGTGTGTCTTTGCTGCAGCCCAGTATTAGGCTGGGCTGACAGATGCACAGCAGCCTGCAGAGAATTATGTGGAACCAACCATCGTGATTAAAATCCTCCTTTATATCCTGATGAGTTGCACTTGTATTAAATATCAAAAGACTTTTTCCCATCAGAGCAATAAGTCTGCACTGATGCAAGTTGTTCCACAGAAAGCAGCTCACTGCTTAGACATGAGTAAAAATCATGGCTCAGTTGCATGTGTGGGGGCCCATTTGCAGGACTGAATCTTTCAGCTCCCTTTCCTGAAAACCCTTCAGCACACACTGAGCTTCCAGCCTGTGTCTATGTCTCACCAAAGTTACTTGCAGAGCTATGTGCTGCAGTGCTTTGCTGAGGCACAACATGAGCTGACAAATTAAGGTCTTAGTGACCAGTTAATTTTTCCTGTCTGGAGCTAAGGGGAGAGAATAAAGACAGGCGAGGAAGGAAAGAAAAAGAAATACGTAATAGAAAACGAAAAGTTTCATCATATGGCATTCAGCTGTATAAAATATGACATCTTTAAACCAGTCTCTCTGGAAATAAGACATTTAAAAGGTCAGGTTAACTAAGACACAAGGATAATGTGGTCTTTTCTCATTGAGTTCACAACTCTACTTATGGAAACTCTGATCTGAGGGGGAAGGAGATACCAACTTTAACTTTCCGCTATTTAGCCTGGCAGTGGCTTTGGCCAGCCAGTTTCCACCGTGACCTTTTTTTATGTTTCCATCCCACTCAGAATATGCCTCTTTGGTTGCGTGCATTTTTTTAAATAAAGGTGAAATATTTTGACTCAGACATACTTTTTAGCAGGAAGCAGGTTTGGTTCTGTATTTCACACCTCCTCTCTCATCTTACCTAATAGGTTTTTACAGAGCCAATTATGGTACATAACGATATTGTAGTCAGGAAGCATGAAAAGAAAGATAGCTCTTGCTTCACACAATATTCAGGTTTGAAAAGAATTTGTATTGATTATGCACCACTGAATAGGAAAACTCAAGGGGTTATTTGTATTTATAGTTCACATTGTCTTATTCCAGCTGTTTTTTCTTTCATAGTCAGAGAAAGACGGATTTGTGAACATGAATGTGTGACCTTAACATCTTACCTTAATCACCCTCACTAAAACAGTGGTTAACTAAAAACATGGCAACATAAAATAAACATTACTTGTTTGTCTTAAATTCTGTCTATGAAATTGTCTAGTCCAGGTTTTGGCCAACAGGGAGCTTGCATTGATGTAGTGAAAAAAATAAAGAGATGTAAGTGTAAAACTTCCAGAGGTCAGACACAAAGGATATGCGGACAATGTCAGGCGTGCGTGACGGTGACGTGCCTCTATTTATGGTATGTTTTGGCCTAGTCACAGTGAAGGAAATCCATGCAAGTATCCTTGCAGTCAACCAGATTTCTAGACAACGTAATCCTGAAACACCAGGAAATAGCTCAGTTCTTCACAGACCTCAGTGAGAGCTGCAGAAGGCCAAAAGTCTTGGCATGTAAATCAGAGGCAGCCTAAATTCAGTGAGTGCCTCAGAAAGTCTGTGAGCCTGATGGACTTGTGTGATACCTGGCAGACGCTGGGCAATGTGAAATTACTTTATACTTTCAAGTATCTTTGAAATAAGAGGTCTTTGAAATGTGTCTTTTATGAGACCTCTGTGTAGCAGACATAAGATTACCTCTCTAATGGTGGCACATGTACTTCTATTGTGAAAATCAGACAAAGCAGGCAAATGACACAAAACTACGTAAGATAAATACTGTAAGCAGCTGTAATAGAACAATCACAAGCAATTTTAGAAATGAAGAGCACTAAAAGGAAAGGGGTAAGTCAGAGGATGCACAGAGGGAAAATGCAAAACTGTGGATCATTTTCAGTCCTGTTATCTCTCATAGAGTCTTTGCTCTTGAGTTCCCAAAACACATTCTCTATATTTGGAAAAAAAAAAAAAAAAAGCTAATAAAATATGGTTCTCCTATTGAGAAGGAGAAAGGTTGAAGAATAACAAAATTGTAAGGGGAGGGAGTTAAAAAAAAGGAGAAAGAAAAACATTATAATTTTTTGGCAATAGTTTCTAATTTATTGTGTAAGATTTCTAAAAAAGCCCCACACTTCTGCACTGTAATATCTCCTCAGGTAACTTTATTCATTGATTTTTGCAGTTTCTCAAGCAAGAGGAGACATTGCAATCTTGTATTTGCTTCAGTAATTGAATCGGAGAGAGGAAAACAGTTAGTGAAATATATTTATGTATGCACTGTTCCTCAGTCTTCTGTCTGCTCTTTCATGTTTTTCTCCTTTTGGTCATTATGCACAGTAGAGTTAACCTAGAGAGTCTGCATCATCAAGAGCTTTTCAGAACTATAATGCATCACTAATAATGACACTGCCTATGTCTCTGGGTCATAAGGGCCCTGCAGAACTAGCCATCTGATACTGCACGCTACATTTGAAGAGATAATATTGTTCCTATTGAGGGTTATTCTGCTGCCAAGCCAACTTCCAGGGAGGATGGGAAAGGAGAGGTGGTAGGTGGCATCTTCGTTTTGTCTGGCATCTTCACTATTGAATTACAAGGGGCAGGACATTATTGAAAAGCTATGATATCGAAAGAAAGAATTTGCAGTCTCTGTAGTATAGCAAACTTCTGATTCAACTGATAGCTCTGACACAGGAAGTTACTGTCTTTAGCAATGTTTAGTAAACACCAGATTGCTACCAAGTCATTTTCAACAATACAGGTAGGACTTAATTTTTATTTTCTGTGTTTTAATATCTAACCCCTGTTTGACCTGCTTATGTAGAGCACATTTTTGCTGTCCATCTACATCACATTGACTGCAGAGGTTAGAAGGATTGACCTCCATAACTCCTGACATACTTGAAAGTGAAAAATTCTAAATCAGAAGCAATAGGTATGAACCCAGGAGCCAGAGCCACGGTACCTTTGTCCAAGGTCAGCTACTACATCAAATGCAATGTAGGGCAGTCTCCTCTTGCAAGCAAGATGGCATTTTCATACACTTATTGAATCCACAATGGAGGATTGGGAACTCTTCTGCTGGGATTTTTAGATTTGTATTCTTGACTTTAGAATAATAAACTTGTAGCTAACAACAGAAATCACTCCTTCCTCTCTTACATGAAAACACACAGATATGTATTTTTAAATCTTCATGAAAGAAGTCTGTTGCTGCTGAACTCTCCTTGCCAACTCACAGGGTTCAGGCTGTTTAAAACAATATTGTTAGACTTTACTGGTGTGTAACACCACACTGTGAAGGCAAGCATTATCAGTGCAAAAAAGTACAAGACTTGCTTAAAGTGAAGATGGAAAATTTGTGAAAGGTGATTGCTGTTGCCTTTAGCTGTTCCAGAATGAAGCTACTCAATTTTGCCCACCTTATTATCTGAAATAACTGTGAAATCCATGCACAATCCAAGCTAGTACAGCTCTTACCAATTAGGGAAATTATTCAAATGACCTAATGACCTGACTTAGATGATACTCAGACTTCAATGTTCTCTGTCCAAGCTAGCAAATAAGTGCATGCAGCAAAAAATGTGGGCAGTCCACAGCACAAATGGATGTAAGTACATGCCTTCCTGAATCAGGACCAGGCTATAGCTTAGCTTTAGGTATGGGAGAAATCCAGATGATGGCAATAGACACAGTTTTCAAAACAAAAACAGGGGTTTTGATTCTGTGGGGTGTTGCTTGGGGCTCTGACTGCTGGAAGGGTATATTCACTGTCCTTTTAGAGGCAGAGTCCCTGCTGTATCTCACACCGTGCAATTGAAAGCTCTGGTACCTCATGTTGCCTGAGGGAGACTTTGACCAACATGCTCATAACTGAACATGCCTCAGTACACTGAACCTGGGGTTGGGATTCATCCTAGAAGACTTGCGGTGGCTGAAATCTGTATGTTGGGGACCATCACCATCAGCTCCCTCTGCAGGCAGTGGGGAGAAGTATACACCTCTAGAAGGGCACTGCACCGACTCGGTGCATATGGCAGTACTGCACAGTGAGATCGCTAGGAATCATATGCTCCTGCTAGAGGTACACCCTAGATTTGCAAGTACCTGTGTCTGGTAATAGTCTGGCTAAATCTGCCTTGATGCCGTGGCATAGTGTGGATGGAATGATTAAAGATCAGGGACAGGCAGAGGTCTGTAACATCATGAAAGGCAGGCAGGCAGGCAGTGAACAGGGAATGATTATTCATTGTTTCATGCAATCCAAGCACTAGAGACAGCAGGCTTGAAGTAATAAAAGGGTGCACTTTTTGACAACACACTAAATCACTGGGGTCCCTGTTCCTGGCTGTTGTTGAGATCAGAAGTACCAGTGGACTCTGGAGAGGACTAGACAGGCCTGGTGATGTCTAAGAAACATGACGATTCAGGCGCAAAATCTAGCTGTGTAAATTTCTTGCTGGATGCTAGAAAGATATAACAAGGGGAAGATCACCATTTAAATGTTCGTTTTCTCAATGTATCACTAACAGCAAAGGTTGAAGAGAGTGTACGGAGCTAAACTTCCTATTTCTAATTCTGTGTGACATTTCTTACATTCTTAGCTAACTTTGACTTTTGGGAATGAATGGCGTGGTCCTTTTCTCACATGTTCAAGATAAAGTCTTTATCACAGACTGATGATCAGTTTACCCAAAATGCCGTTCCAAAGGTCCCTAGTGCCTTCAATACATTTTTCTAGTATTAGTTCATGGATCATAAACCACAATAACAATGTCTATATGCTAAGAATCTGCAGTTGAAAATGTACATGTAGTTAACCTGGCATGGCTCACTTTGTAAAGAAGGCCTAAAGGAATGTGAAACAGGATTTGAATCCTTTTCAGCCAGTGGGACTCTGCCTACCGATATAGCACAGTCTGGGAAGGGGCACTCTCACAGGATGCTCAGGGAGCAGAAAACTACAGGGTTAAGCAAACCACTTCTCTACCTTGCCAGCATTCTCCTAGGCTGCTCTTAATTGTTAGCATAGAAGAAGGTTTTGCTTTTTCAGAGCAAATTGCTGAAGCTCTTTAAAATGCTGAATTACTACACAGGTACATGTGTGTGATAGAAGTTAGTGGGATTTATACCACTATACTAGAAGCGAACACTGAAATATGGCTGATTTTAAATTAATTCTTTTTTTTTTTTTTTTTCTTAAAGATTCTAATAGTAACACCTAAAAATGTGTTGTATGTGCCAAGAAACAAATCACTGCCTTATCACTGGAGTGTATGTTTGACTCAAGAGAGGACTAGGCAGAATGTCCCTTGAAAACAGTGAAATTTGCTATTTCTTTTTTCAGAAAACACAGCTTACCCTGTCCATGTGAGCTATTTTAAAGCCAGTGCCGGCACGAAGCAGTCTTGGCATTACAGCAGCAATAAGAAAATGGTGTTACAGTGTTTGGCTTGTACAAACTTCCTACATTACCTAAAAATAACTAAGTAGCACATTTGGGAAACATTACGCAGGAGGTGCCTGCACAAGCTCATCATGTGCATAATATGTTTCCTGTGTGTACTTCTCATCTCTCTTCCTGAAAATGTAGCCTCCCTGAGACCAATTTTGAACGATTTTCGGGATTTTTTTTTTTTTGCCTTTGCTAAGATATGTAAAAACCTACCAGTCCCTGTGCAGCAGAATGGCGTGATGTCCATGTGACACTCGGCAGCAGAAAACAGAGGGCTGTGCTCCTCCGCTCCTTCAATAGCTATTCCCCTTGGTGCCACACCATGATGAAACCAAGGCAGATTAGCAGCAACGGGGGAAAAAAGCCCATTCCTCCCACCCACTGGCTCTAATAGGGCAACATGTCAGTGTGTGTCTGGCTGGAAAAGAAACCCATCTGGTAGGTGATACTAAAACTCAGAGAGTTGCTCATTTGGTTCAGAAAGCTTCCCTCCCTTTTTATAATGATTCAAGATGCGTTACAATAAGCGGGCTGGATAACACACAATAATTGCTTCTAGGTGATAAATGGGAGGGCTTACTGAGGGTTATTCAGTCCTAACTGCACACTCCCAGACTTCTTGGTGTTTTGAAGACCTTACAACTCTGTCAAATCCAGCAGCACTTTCCTTAGCTCTGCAGTCACAAGTTCAGGGAGTGTGAATGACTTTGTTCAGATGTAAGGGCCCAGGAGAATCCAGTGGCTAATTTTTGGGTTACACTTAGTTTACTTAAGCCTGGTTAATAATGTCTTCTCTAGTGGATTTAGTTTCTTTCTTTCTTTTTTCTTCTTTTATTTTTGTTCTCTAGTTCATATCACAGAAGTAAAAGAGAAAACAGTTTTTCAAGTAGAGGGCTTGTTCCTGCAGTCTTTACTTTTGCAAAAGTCCTTTTGTGATCAAGAAAATATAAATGGGGGGAAGACACAGCACCAAAATGTCCTGTCTTTTTAGGGATTGTGAGAAAAACAAATGAGCAAAATAAGGTAACATAAACAGGAAAGGAAAAGGAGCTCCACAGTCCTGTAAACCTGAGTGTAAACATCTTTTTGGAAGAAGTTTTCCCTTTGTATTTGTGACACAGCACTTACAGCCCCACCATGGCAGGGTCTGCACAGGGAAAAGTGGGAAGGTGAGCTGAGATTAACCCTTCCTTCGCTGGAGATTGGAGAATGTGTTTGCACTCAGCATCAGGGAATTTTACATTTTACATGAGGACTGGGCTTATGGCCTGCCAATATTTGCAAATCCACCTCCTTTCCACAACTGCCCCTACACCTTAGAGCTTTTATCTTTAAACTTTGTTATTCATCTGTCTATAAAGAAAAGAGACTGCTTACTTAAATTGTCTTCGTCCTCCATGGTGGTTGCGCCAGGACTCAGATACTTGAAGGGCGCTATGAAGGTTGACAGTATGCTTACTTTTTCTAGAATAAAACAGAAGAAGAGAGACATATAAAATCAGTATTTTGTCAGTGCATTCTGACCTAGTCCACACTTTTTCTCAGATGAAAACACCTCAAGTCTGTTTCTTTTTTGCTTTTCCTGACTCTACAGCCCCACCAAAATTCACAGAACTGCAATACATTTATTAGAGCTGGCACGTGCAAATGCCAAATGTACGCCCCTCCTGGATTCTGCCCCTGTGTAGTGCTCCTTCACCATGCTTCCCAGCAATGGTGCCCAAGCACTGCAGAGATGGGAATGTGGGAGGCTTGAACTGGTCCAGCTGGGAATGGGGGAGGAGGGTGAGAGCTGGAGGTGGTGAGCCCTGGGAGGAGGGACATGAGAACTGCTCTAATGGATGAGACCATCAGCTCACCTCCTCTTGTTTCCTCTCCCTGACAGAGGCTGAATCAGAAGTCTCAGAGAAAGCTCATGCATTGATGGCAGAAGAGACTATGACTGCCTCTAATTCTTCTAGAAATCATTGATTTGATTTTTGGAAAACCTTTATGGTGTGCACAGGAAGCTATTATCGAAACAATACGAATCCTGTTTGAAATCCTTCTTATTCACATTTATATTAAGTGTAGCTCCTTCTACCTGCGGTTTCTGTTTATCCTGCAGATAGTAGATGGCACAGAAATTTACTTCCAGTGCCACAATCAGCCTCTGCATTAGATGCCACAACAGATTCAGCGAAATGAGAACTGATACTGATTTATACTAGCTCAAAATTTGGCTCAGGAGTTATCTACAGGGAAAAGCTGCTGTTAACACAAACACTAGAAACAGGGATATACTGAAGATACGTGTTTTATTTAGTTTGTTCACTAGTTTACTTAGTTTGTTCTTCAGTTTGTTGAGGCTATATTCCTCCTGACAAACTATGGGTACTTTGCTGAGGACCTACATCAACAAGGTGTCTACCTTCGGTAGCAGAAGAAACAGAAACACACCTTACAAAGGTGATCCATAGCTTTGAAGGACTTAGTTGCTTTCCTAAAGTACTTCTCTGCTTAGAAAGCCTCAGTTAGGTGGAAATGCTCTGAATCCTGCACATTGTGAACAATGCTGGGCTTTCATCTTGTGGCAGAAGCATCAAAAACCAAACCAAGAATGTCTCTTTTCAAGTGACAGGAAAAATGATTTCCATGGGGACTTTCTTTACTGGTGAGAAAGTATTTCTCTGAATTTCCTTAAACTACCTGGCTGCTAACCTACGACTGGTCTGGAAGGCATTCCAGCTGAAGAGCTCTTAAACTTTTTCAGTAGCACATCTCAGCTTTTTGGCCTGATTCTTGCTACATTTGCAAATAATCCTTGCTCTTGTTGAAGACTTGTCAGAATCCATCAAAAATGACTGCAGATGTTTGCCCTTAGCTAGGTATCACTACAGCTCAGCTCTATTATGAAAAAACACAGTAAAAGCTGACTGGTTTTTGTTAAGTAAACACAATAAGCAGAATAAAAGATTGCCTGAAGAAAACCTTTTTCCATCCAGAAACCTTTCAGCCCAGACTACTATATAATTAGAGCACAAATTAGCCTCCTTGAGTTGCAATTTCATTAAGGGATTGTAGTGATGTCAGGAACCAAAAGAATGAAGCTATTTATGAATGTTTTAGCCAAAAGATTTTCCTAAGTGAATACTTTGACACTTTTTGCTAAGGCGTTGCTTGCTGAGAAATGTGGTATCTCTGTACGACACTATCTCAGTGCATGTGAGACTGTTGGGTTGTGATCAGGATAAAGGCTGTTATTCACTCCTGACTTTCTCAAACGGTTTCTTTGATTAAAGTGAAAAGAGCGTAGGCTTTTGGGACCTAATCCAAAGGCTACATTTGGTAAGGGGAATGCTTCAGATGATAGACATGGGATCAGGGCAGTCCTTGGCTTCAGCACCAGCAACGACTGTTGTGTCTGGATACTGAGATGCAGTGAGCTGAAGTGAACTCCGCCTGTGCCTGACTGCTGATGGCTGTCAGACCTTCAGAACTAACCCTCAAGACACTGCATGTCATACACAAACGTAAAGCTTCTCTGCTGAGAAAATATTCTGACTTCTCATAGAGAGTTAATCCATTAACCAAGCAATGAGGACATGTGCTTTCTTGCTGAGAATGCTAGGGCCTACTCCTGCCACCAATCAAAAAGCAAAACCATGTAGTTTTATACTATATTATTATTAGGTAGAGGGATATTCTGTGATTTATCTTTCACCTCAACCAATTTTGTGTAATCCATAGGCGAGATTTACAATGTAGATTTAAAATTTATCAAATTATTTTCCCTTTTGCCTTAAGAGACCCTTTAGCCATCTTAAGCTTTTGTTGTTACTGTTTCCCACCTGTCCCCAAAGACCTTGCTGGTGCTTTTGCTTTGTGTGGCAGAGAAACAGGATGGCCTGTAAGATTTACTGCACTCTTAGAGAAGCAATGGATGGGTTCATGTCAACCAAACTCAGGCAGGCTGTAATAACAGGATATCCTTCAATCAATACAGATGATAAAGATTATAATTTAATATTTCAATCCATTGGTTGAGCAATGGAAGATTTTGTGTGTGTCGGGAAGGAGGAGGGCAGGGTTTTTGAGTGAGTGATGTAGGAAGAGAAGAGCCATAGTATGCACATAGCACAGGTGAATTATTGAGCCTATGGAGGAGGGGAAGACAGAGGACAGGATAATTAAGTTTAGGTGTTTACAGGGAAATAATCTGGCTAGGTATAAAACTATTGATACGATGGTGCACTTCCATCTTTTGCATGTTATTGTCTATCACCATATATATACCATAGAACGCTACTTCAGCTTTATTGTCAATGGTGAAATTCAGTGTTATTTTTGTTTATCATTTCAGAACAAGATTAGAAGAGTTGTGTATTCACACTTTATGGTCTCCGTGTATTTTAACTTTCATCACAATTAGTCCTATTTCCAGCAGTTTGATGAAATCTTATGAATAAGAATAAAGGACATGGTTGGACAGAAAAAAGCCATACAGAGAAATACCTTTAAAGCCTCCTCTTTTCTTTCACTCTCTTCTCCTTCTATGATTTTTTTTTTCCCAAAAGAGGCAATGACAGGTAGCCCAAAATTAGAGTGGCTATTTTTACTTTATAATTGTAAATATTCTCTGTATTTGTCTGAGGAAATTACTTTTCAAGACTAGGGGAGAGGTTCTAAGAGAAGAAAACAAGACATTTCAAAAACTCTTTTCTCCAGAAAAGCAGGATACATAACCCTACATTTATGAGAACCAGTACAAGGAGCTATTATTACTTGCATTGGAATTATACCAAAAGCTTCTGATGACATGAAGGAGCTATTTCATGAGGGCCTACATGGACACAAAGGAAGCTGTATTTACAATGGAAATTGAGAGACAAAGAGCAGGTAGCCATCCTGGAACACTAATGCAAGATGATAGCATCATATTTTGTAGTGTATTCACTATAAAAACATCCTTCCAAGTGGTGCCAAGTGGAACTCTGCTCCAGTACCCTACACACAAAAATCACCATTTCTCCTGATGAGATGCCCATTATAGGAAGAAACCTCACTCTCCTCTGTCTTGGGATGGAAAAGGATTTCTGTTCACACTTCTTAAGTATACATTTTCTAAAAACAGTAAATAGTTAAAAAATAATCATGAACACTGTTTTGACAGTAGCCATATAAATCATTTAAACAAATCAAAAAACCATTGGCCAAGATATGTTTTGCATGAAAAGCAGCAAATTATTTAGTCCAAATGATTCAGCAAAGCCTGGTATACAAGGCAGCCAAGTTTCCACTAAAATCTGCTCTTTTTGTGAAGTTGCTCTTGTCCTGTGGATGCAGTCAGAAGACTGGTCACAGGTTCCATAAATACACTTTTATTGTGAAGACAAGAATACACATATACAGCTATAAACAGCATTTATGCCCTTCATACCTATCAGTATTTAAAGGGCACCAGACAATACGGCTTGATTGTCAGACGTACCGAAGTTCTTTCACTCTCAATCACCTGAATAAAAGCGATGGGAATGGCAGGAGCTCAACACTTTTAAAAATCAGGACTTATACATGTTGGACAAATTGTTTAGCTTTAAGAAGAGCAGACTGAGTGGGGTCATAACAACAGTCTTCAAATACACAGAAAGCTGCCGCATAGAAGAAAGGAGCAAACTGTATTACATGTGCATTAACACAACTAGAAGTAATGGACTTAAATTGCACCAAGGAAAATTCACTTTAAACATTAAAAAACCTTCCTAACAGCAAGGATAGGGCAGCACTGGAACAGATTGTCTAGTGAGGAGGTTGAGGAGTAGTTGGTGCTGAAGGGCTGTAGGAAGACAATTGGCATTGGCGGGGTGTTGCACCTGTCCTTGGGTTCATCCCTTGTAGTCTCTCTCTTATCCCTATGGAGCCCAGTAGAAAAACTCATCCTGGCTTTGAGATCACGCAGCAGGTTCTAGCTCAAACTTGGAAAAGTGAGTAGTATTTGCTAATATTAGGTAATCTCTGAGCAGAAGCTTGTGGCATGCTCTTTTGCTTGGCAGCTATTAATAATTGTTTTTTTAAAATGCAACTTCTGAACACAAGAAGGATTAGACAGATGGCTACCAGTGGTTTGCCAGATCAGCGTTAGCAATGTTTTACTGAATTAGTTTCATTCTCATATTCTAATTGATTACTGTAAACTACTTTACTTGTCAGAGGTTTCTTTGATAGTACTCTTTTAAAAACACAATGTGGACATTATAAACCAGTCCTAAATAATTCATTTGGTTTGCATGGAGTATGAAATTACTCAGGAAGGGTCAATTCTGATGCAATAATGTAAACTCAGATGCAAAACCTCTTGAAAGAAACCTTAGTTTTGTTTCTCTAAAGGAGTATTTGCAGCTACAGGAATAGTTACATTTTTACAGTTGTGTTAGCCTTGATTTATATTGAAAGGGGGGGATACAGGGAGGGAAGAGAGTCT